AGGGTCTGCTGGCTGGGTGCTGGCAGGCTTGCAACTGGCACAAGCACTGTAGCCAGACCGTGGCCCTTTAAGGGCTCCGGGGCCGGGAGGGGGGCAGAAAAGTTTCCCTGGTTTGGCCCAGAGTGGGCACAGGGCAAGCTGGGGAGGGCTAGCCTCCAACTAGTTCGAATTAAGTGGCTACACAGCCCTTAATTCGAGCTACTTAATTTGAACTAGGCGTTAGTCCTCGTAGAATGAGGTTTACCGAGTTCAAATTAAGCACTCCGCTAGTTCGAATTAAGTTCGAACTAGTGGCTTGTATGTGTAGCGCCTATGAAAGTTAATTCGAAGTAACGGCTGTTAGTTCGAATTAACTTTGTAGTGTAGACATACCCGCAGATCCCCAAATGAACTTTTTGTTGAAATCACACTCTGCCAAAAAATGTTTTTGCCCAGCTGTGATGAAGAGTACTTTGCCTGCCACGTAAGCCATCGTAACATACTGTTGCCAAAACCAGAGAGAGCCAAAGCAAACTGCTCCCTAAAACTGAAGCACTCCTCATCCTCTGCTGAATTTCTATAACCTGACTACGACTGAGAATACAAACTGCGTGCGTCTTCAGGGCTCCCTAACCTAGAGCAGGACAAGGAAACCCATTAGGATTTTAAGGGGTGAGCTTGTAATTTTACCACCATTTTCAGTGTATCACAGATTTCTTCCTCCCCACAACAATCTGGCCGTGCCGTTTGCCTTTTCCAGTAGTTTGTGTGGAGTATTTTCCAGCCCTTTCCCTTCCCTGGTGTTACTGAGATTCCTGTTTCTGAATGGTTTAAAAACCATTAAATTTAATCCCCGTAGCTGAACCCAGGGCATAAAACAATCAAATTAACTATCATTCATGTTCCTTTATTGCAGAACTGAATCCAAAGTCTGGTCCCCGCTGGTGACAGAGGAGGGAAAGCCCAATCCATACAGAATGAATCTGGCATCTCAACCCCAGGTAAGTAATAATGGGCTTGTGTTGTTTGTTGTTGCCTCCCTGTGCTCTGTCCCGGAGTGGTGTATGCCCCGATTCCCAGCACGTCTAGCTCCAGGTGATTTCAGTGGGAACAGTGGCTTCAAATCTTTTTCAAACCGCAAACAGAGAAACTCTGTTAGTGTCAGCAGGCCCGTCTCGGTGAGGGAGACTGTGCTAGCCCTTATTCTGAACTCTGCTGTGGCTCAGATGAGCTGTTAGGAGGCTTGATGTGGTTCATGAGGAACAAGAGTCTTGTTTTCTCTTTGTACTCGTTGTGGTACTGCCCTCGTAGACTTAGTGAGAGAGAAGGCCTTGCCTCCAGGAGCTGGCTGCTAGCAGACTGGCTTTGGAACATAGCATAGCCTCCTAGAATATTGCTGGGTCCCTGTCGTCATTCTGTCTAGGTGCTGCCCTGAAGAGCTTATCTAAATGAGCTGTTTGGGGCAGGGATTGTGTGTATATAGACAGAGCCCAGCATATAGTGGGGGCAACAGAATACAGGCCATAAATAACAGTTTGAGCACTTTCATCGTAACCATTGCTGAGCTTATTGGCTTTCCTATATAAGAAGAATTTAGGCAGAGAAGGGGACAAATGAGTCATTCTCACAATGACTCATTTAGGCTAAAAACACAGGGACACTGCCTAAGGAGAGAGCTTTGGAGATGGGGGACTGCCACCCTTTCAGTTGCTTGCAGTCTGTGCAGTGTTGTGGTATGGATCGCTCATTCGCTGGCACAGGGTTTGCAGCACGCTAGTGGCACGTTTCAATTCAGTTTTACTCAGTTTTAGGGAAGAAAGGCGGGAGGTATCTTTGGAAGTCAATGGGATGTGAACATCCTATTCCTACTGGTGTCATTTCCCCCTTTATTAGAGTGGCAAAGTGCACTAAGAGGGCCAGAACCTCAAAGGTATTTTGGCTCCTAATTATCATGGAAATCAATGAAAGCTCAAAGCCTAAAGGTTTTGGAGGATCTGGGCCTAAGTGTTTGACCTATCCTATAAAAGGTAATGTGCCCATGTTGCATCACTGCCATTTGTGGAGGGAGAAGAGGCATTTTTGTTTTGTGTTGTTTTGTTTCATGTCAGCAGGTATAAATAAATCTTGGGGGTTGACAGCTTTACATCAGGAGTACACTGTGTTATTTTCAACCTCTCTACCTGTGATGTGGCTCTTTAGCAGAGGCAAAGTTTCACGTAGCTCCTTGTGCCCCATCCCCAAATGATTTCGTGAGCTAGATTCAGATGGTTACACTTGTGTGAATGTGGAGTAATTGCAGTGAAATCAGTGGAGTTACTCTGGATTTCTACCAGTATAATGGATCAGAATCTGGCCCTAGAACATCTCGGCTGCGTCTAGACTGGCTGCTTGATTTTGCGCAAAAGCACTGACGTTCTGCTGTCCGAAATCAGTGCTTTTTGCGCAAATGCTTTGACGTTCCCGTTCGGGCAAAAGCCCTTTTCCGGAAATGTTTTTGCGCAAGAGGGCCAGTGTAGACAGCTAAAAACTGTTTTACGCAAAAAAGCCCCAATGGCGAAAATGGCGATCGGGGCTTTCTTGCGCAAAACCGCGTCTAGATTGGCACGGACGCTTTTCCGCAAAAAGTGCTTTTGCAGAAAAGTGTCCGTGCCAATCTAGACGCTCTTTTCCGCAAATGCTTTTAACGGGAAAACGTTTCCGTTAAAAGCATTTGCGGAAAATCATGCCAGTCTAGACATAGCCCTCATGTTTGAGTCTTTTTCTAGCAAAATTAGTATATGTGAGAATCATTTATTATGTAACCAGGAAAATACTAATTTTTCCTGCTACATTTGTGTAGTAAGCTTGTACCACAAAATGAGCCTTTGTGTATAATAAGACCATCCTCATTCAGTCATGTTCATGGTAGATTAGCAGCTGCGGTACAGAACTTGCTCTAGCTCTTCTACCAGTCAACTCTTTAAGCGACTGAGGCAAGTAAATTTGCTACAAGCCCCACAGGCTGGTAGGACAAATATTAGGTTAGGAGGAGGTAAGGCAGAGGTGGACATTGTGGCTGTGGGTAGTCTGCATCTCTAGCCTGTGAGTGTTATGGCAGGTTGGGGCCCAGATCGCCTGGATCCATGTTTTCATACCACGTGGAGAAAGTCAGAGCTGGGCCTTGTGACTTGGCCACTTGGGCTGGGACAGGTCTTGTAGTATGCTCTGATACACTATTGCAGCACAGCAGAATGGTGTGTAAACTCCAGCCTTTGGCAGTGATAAAGGTATTCAAGATCTGCGAGCAGTTCTGAAAATGCCAGGATAACCCCAGGGCCTTGGCTGATGCATCTTCTCTCAAAGGAAGCAAGGGCTAAATGCAAGGCTATGCAAGACGGATTGCTGAGCTTATGCTGGCTGTTGAATTGCCTGCATAGTTGCTTTGCCACCAGTTATCACAGCTTTGTGAATCAATTGAAAATGCCTAGAGGCGTGGTTCTTTTCTGTTCAAAGCAGGGACAGTCTAAAGGCTGCTAGGAACTCTGGTTATGAGCACAGTATAAACCCTTGGATAGACTGAATAGGGCCTGGCTACTCCTGAGGTGCAGCACTCAGCTCTCATGTTCCTGTAAGTGCAGGACAAAAGAAACCACAAGCTTTTACTGCTTAAGAGTGCAGGTAAGCAGTTTCTATTGGCCTGTAGAAAAAGTGCCAAGTGAAAGCAAACATTATGGGTGTGTCCCTTTGATTTTCAGCCAGTCAGCTCCCAACTGCCTGCTGTTGCTCTGAGACATGGAGGGCTGGAAGGGATCAAAAGAGGTCACTGAGGCAGGGCCAGGCCATCCCTGGCAGGTGTTAGGTTTAACCTGTTCCTCAAAAGCTACAATGTTCCAGAGCTTAACTAATTCTATAATTGTTAGAAAGCTTTTTTCCTAATTTCCAACTTAAATCTCCCTTGCTGCTTTCTTCTTTTCCTGCTTTCAGTGAACATTGGGAACCATTGATTCCTGTCCACTTTATGCCACCCCTTTCCATACTTGAAGACTATTGTCAGGTCCCTCCTCAGTCGTCTTTTCTCAGGATTAACCATGCCTTTAAAAAAAAAAAAAAAAAACCGTTCCTCACAAGTCTGGTTTTCTAAAACTTTTATCATTTTTGTTGCTCTTTCCTGGACTTCCTCTACAGGCAGTCCCCGGGTTACGTACAAGATAGGGACTGTAGGTTTGTTCTTAAGTTGAATCTGTATGTAAGTCGGAACTGGCGTCCCCAAGTGAGCTGCTGCTGAAACTGATCAGCAGCTGATTCCAGGAAGCCGGGGACCAGCAGACCAGGGAGACGGGGAGCAAAACCTCGGAGGACGCCCGCAGTGGGACAGCCGCGGTGCGTCTGGGCTGTCCCGCTGCGGGCGTCCTCCGAGGCTTTGCTCCCCCTCTCCCTGGTCTGACCCCCTGGGCGGCCCCCCTGTTCTCCGTCTCCCTGGTCTGACCAGCAGACCAGGGAGACGGGGAGCAGCTTTTCTCACCCCGGAGAACGCGGGTGGCGGAACCGCGGCTCATCTGGGCGTCCCGCCACTCCCGTCCTCCGGGGCGAGAAAAGCCCCGTTTGTAACTGCGGATCCAACATAAGTCGGATCCGCGTAACTCGGGGACTGCCTGTAGTTTGGCCACATCTTTCCTGAATTTCAGTGCTCAGAAATTGGGCTTTAAAGTGAAAGTGTGGTTGTGGCGGATTTAATGGGTGCGAGCCCCACGCCCCCGCGCACAGGAGGGCAGACGGGGGGGGGCTCCACGGACCCACTGCCTTACTCCATTTGGTCGGCCCTCACCGGGATTGGTGCGAGGGGCCGGGGTAGGGTGCAATCACCCCTCGCCTTACCGCGGGGAGGCCCTTTATCACGCCTGCCCCAGGGCCGCCCGGCTGTTTCCCCAACCCTAGTTGGGGCCAAGTGTCCAGCTGCTGCGGCGCTCAGCTGAGGCCAAGCGCCACATGGAGCCCCTGGCAGCTGGGCTCCAAGTGGTGCTTGGCCCTGGCCAAATGCTGCAGCTGCCCATCATGCAGCCCCACCCTTTGGGCTGGGGGGCAGCCACTGGAGCTAGAACTGGGGCCACGGTGAGGCTGCCCCAGTATGGACAGTCTCACTGCAACCATGGCTCCAGCTTCAGCACACCCAGTTGTTCGCAGGGCCACTCATCCTGCTGCTGCATGGGGAACCCCAGCGGGCAAGCTCGTTAACATCTGGGGACGTGGCCTGGCAGTGTGCCATGGTCCAGGGGTTCACGGTCCACTGCTGGTCCTTGGACTGGCCATTGGGAACCAGTGTCCTAGCTTGAGGCCTCACCAGTGCTCAGTAGAACAGAACAATTATCTCTCGTGTCATACATAAGACACCTCTGTTAATACACCCCAGAATATTTGTCTGTCTTTGACCAGCATCATACTGTTTACTCCTATTCAATTTTTGATCCACTCTAAACCACAGATCCTTTTTAGTAGTACTACTGCCTAGCCAGCTGTTCCCTGTTTTGTATGGATACATTGGATTTTTCCTTTCTAAGTGAAGTATGTTGCATGTGTCTCCTCTCGCCTTTAGTACGTGAGCTGGATAAATTAAGCTTATGCCCTAGTAAATTGTCCCTAAGGGTACATCTAGACTACAGGCTTTTGTCGACAGAGACTTTGTTGACAGATACTGTCGACAAAGCTTCTGTGGACAAAGAGCGTCTAGACGACATCCAGTTCTGTCGACAAAGCAAGCCGCTTTGTCAAGATGAGGGTGTAGATGCAAAGGACGGTGTAGTGACAAAAGGCGTTATTCCTTGTAGAATGAGGTTTACTGCTGTCGACAAAACTGCCGAGTTCTGTCGACGTTATGTGGTAGTGTAGACGCAGGTATAGTTTTGTCGACAAAACCCTGAAGTCTAGCACAACCTGCAGTGCCACAGAACTCCTTGCTGTTTTTGCAGATACAGACTAACATGAGGCAATCCAAACCATAACTGGAAGATTCCACTGAGCTTTCCAG